CCATTCGTACCTAGCCCATGTGGCTGAATTGTACAGCAATAAGTAGAGCCCTACCCTCTGTATCCACTGTTTCAAAAAGGCATCAACCCATCTGCATAGAAAACAGTCTAATTATTAAAAAAAAAAAAAAGGCAGACAGCAGTCTAATTCCGAAAGCAATTAACCGCCATTCCAAAACCTCGTCTTCAGCTGAAAAGCTTCTTTTTCATTTTCCCGTTTTTTTTCCTTTCAAAAAAAAAAAAAAAAAAAACCAAAAAAAAAACGCTCCATCTATTGGTGGGGAGCCATCAGCTAAAAGGCTAAAACACGGGCAAAAGCAATTTGATCCGTCAGGACATAGTCACTGACTCACTGCAATTACGTTCAAACTTCAATTTGAAAGACACTCGCGAATGTCCAACTGTGCATATTATGTCCTCAATGTTGTTCTAGCTAGACACAAAAGCTGAAGTTGGGGTCTGTTGGGGTCAAATGGATTGTGAAGGTACTCTCAGGGCATACTCAGAGTAAAACTTTCTCGGACGTATCTGACCACATTTGAGACCAGATTCAGTCCACGAAGTTCTAGTGGCGAGTATCATAATGGCCTCATTTGCCCCAGAGATCCGGCCTCCGAACATTCCAGAACATCTAATACATCATCTGTTGCGGAAAAGAGCAAATTCTGTAGCACTCTCTCTCTCTCTCTCTCTCTCTCTCTCTCTCTCTCTCTCTCTCTCTCTCTCTCTCTCTCTCTCTCTCTCTCTCTCTCTCCCCCGTTTCAGTCTGGGCCCCCTTGTCTTCTGGTCAATCTTGAGGTGGACCCTCTGGCCAAGCTTATTTAAAGCGCCAGTACATGCCAGCTATCGGCAGCGGGCCCCTTTCGGAGAACGCCCGCCACTGATTCATTTTATTTACGGCCTCGTAAATTTTTGGAGAGGCTCAAAAACAGGTTCTGCAGTTGCCTGGGGCCATGTGCTGGTGGTTTAAGAGGGAAAAAACTGGCAGACTACCTTCCAGACACACAAATTTCCTTTATTGATATTTCATATTTGTTAATCCATTTTGGTGAAGTGGCTATCAAAGATTTGAAAAAAAGAATTGATTGTGCACAAGCTGCACTCCTTTTTTTATTTTGGGTTTAGGGTGTTTTGCACTTCTATTTAGTATGCATGTATGATGAACTTCCATAAAATACACTTTGGATGCAAGAAAGCCAATTAAAAATCCTTCTGTGTCTGAAGTCAGTTGCCTCCCCCCCCCACCCCCCTCTCCCCTCCTTTTATTTTTAAGAAACCCAAGTGATTGACAGAAATTGTCAGGAATAAGGATTTAAAAAAGCCAAAAAACAAAAGAAAAAACTGTCTGATCTGACCGGTTGAAACCCTAATTCTGCAGGAGGCAGCAAAACACATTGCTGACACCTATGGGAGACTTGATCTTCTGGTGAACACCAGTGGGGTGCTCCATATCCCTAACGTTATGCGACCAGGTGAGTGGAATCACCACTTCTGGAACGCTGGCCTCACGTTTTGTTCGTTTGAAAAAAAAAAGAAAAAAAAAAGAAAGAATTCTTGAATTCTCGTTAATTCCTAACCATCTTCTATGCAAGGAGTCATATAAATTTTTACTTTCTTTTTTTTTATATCATATAACTTTTCACCAGTGTTAAAAAGTTTTTTTTTCCTTCTTTTGTAAGGGTTCCCAGCTTTGTAATATAAATTTCCTTTTTTGGAAAGAAAAAAAAGCTTATTTTCATGATTTTTGGTTGTTGTCGTAATAGTGTATTATTTATCTGCGTTTTGACTTCCCCCGCCCAGAAAACGACACAGCCTAAGGACATGTCTCCTCGTGTTCTGTGTGGCTGAACCCTCATGTTTTCCTTCCTCTGGGGTCAAATTCCAGTGTCCCACTAGCAGCATTGAGCTTCCGCAACGCCTGAATCTGGACGTGTTTGAGGAAAAGTGCAGAAATCGCGTCGAGTTTCCTCAACCACCCATCTCCACAATCACGTCCACATTCAGGCGTGAAGGAAACTCAACGCTGCTAGTGGGACTCGGCCCCTGGCAGGGAGGTAGGTAGGTAGGTAGGTAGGCAGACGTTTCAATTGGTCTAAACTTGTAAAGAGACTGTAAAAGAGTCTATAAACCATGTTTGCCTCTTTTTTTTCTTTTTTTCTTTTTTCCCCCCTCCATGGCGACTCTCACAATAAATTTTGTTCTTCTCCTTCCTCAAATAACATCTACCATCTTCCCCCAAACACAACGCACACAATTTTGGCTGTATGGGACCAGGAAGCTAGCTTATATACATTCATAATCAGGGTGCGTTGTGTTCAGGGGAAGACGGATCGAGAGAGCTATGCCTCTCTAACTGCTCCCCGCCAGTTCTTCCCCATCGCCTTCACCATCCTCCGCGTCCTCGTTGTCGACGCCAACCTCTCCCGTAACGCATTACCTAGCGCTGTTCGACACTTCCCGCCCGTACTTTGCGTTCGTAGTGAACAACAATACTCAACCAAAGAAATGTCAGCCAGCCCCTAGCTATTTTGGTCTATGCTTCGGAGGGAGCCAGGTCCGTCGTGCCAGAAAGCTAGCTTATAGACATTCATACTGTATGTTTTTTTTCTGCATTTGTTCCGCATTGTGTTCAATATTCCGTTCTGCATTCCCTCTGTTCCACATTCAGTTCCACACTGTGTGTTCCATTTCCTGTTCGCATTTTGCTCGGCATTCCCTTCTCTTCTGCATTCGGTTCACATTCTGTTCCACATTCCATTCCCCATCCCATTCCGCATTTGCTCCGCATTCTGTTCTGCATTTCGTACCGCATTCAGTCCGCATTTCGTTCCACATTCGGTCCCGCATTCTGTTCCGCATTTCAATCCACATTCCAGTCCTCATACTGTTCGGCGTTCCCTTCCATTCTGTATTCCGTTCCATATTCCGGTCCACAGTCTGTTCCACACTGTGTTCCATTTCTTATTCGCACATTCCCTCCCCGTCTGCATTCCATTCCACATTCCGTTCCACATTCCGTTCCACATCCGGTCCCGCATTCTGTTCAGCGTTTCGTTCCCCATGCCATTCCACATCCGGTCCGCATTCTGTTCCGCATCCATTCCACATTCCAGTCGACATTCTGTTCCGCGTTCCCCTTCCATTCCGTTCCGCATTCTGTTCTGCATTGTGTTTTCATGCGATGGAGTTTTGTTTTGCTTTTTTCTTTTTCTTCACTGTTTTTGCATGGGTATTGTGGCTTTTATATTGGGAAATTCCCTTAGGGCATCTTCACATCAGGACTTTTTGAGATATATCTGCCTGCAGTTATGGACAAATTCACTTGCAAAAGTCCTAGTATGAGGGCATACTCACAGAAGCAGTTTTTCACTTATTCGAGGACGTGATTGCGGTCAGATGCATCTACGCCCGGCCATAATTGCGGTCACATATGCGTAGGGAAGTGGTAGCATGGGCATGCCCTTAGTATCGCACTTAGACTGCACATTGAGGTGGAAAAACCCAAGAGTGCTTGGAAGGTACCCTTTGGTGAACAGGGCAAAAATTCATCCTAGCTGATGTATCTGCCTGCAATTACGGCCAATTTTTCACTTGCAAAAGCCCTAGCATATCGATGGGATCCTCATCCATGCATGCTGACCCTGCACGCAGACATGTGTTGAGAATCTTTTTTTTTTTTTTTTTTTTCGAATCTCAAAATTCAAATTCCATTACTTGGGCAATTTAGAGGCCGGGGTCCTCTACATTACTCCCGTTTCAAACATAGGTGTCTGGAAGCATCATCCAGCTTAGCTTACAGCCTGAAAAGCCTGCAGGGCAAAAATCCTACTTGGCTAAAAGCCTAAAACTACTCTGTGATGAGTCTGTATGTAACTTCTATGTTCACTTCCTACCCTAGACCCTAAACCCTAAACCCTAAACCCTAAACCTAACATCCGTACGTACCTACAGCTGGCGCGATAGACTGCCCTCCTTTGTGTAACTAACAAAATCGTATTAAAGGCGAAGAAGTGGCCGCCGCCAACTACAAACATCCTATTCAAGGGGACGAAGTGGGAGGCGGGCGACAAAGTGCTCAAGTCCCGCGATGCGAGCCCCGTAGTCTAGGGTTTCTTCCATAGCCGCGCGGCGCGTGCGCCGTGCGCATAGCCGCACGAAGCTTAGCCACCATGCCCCGGGGCGCTCAGCACCCGGGGGGGGGGTGGGGGGGGCTTGCAGATGTCGAGCTTTGGCATAGTCTAGGGTTTCTTCCATAGTTGAGCGCCACGTGCGCCGTGCGCATAGCCGCGCGAAGCTTAGCCACCATGCCCCGGGGCACTCAGCATGGGGGAGGGGGGTCTTGCAGCTGTCGAGCTTCGTAGGGGAGCTCGAGCAATAGGGACATGAGCTTGTCCAGGGCGTAGAGGAGGAGTGGGCGGGCCCTCTGAGGGGGGGAGGTGGACAGCATTGGGGTCTTCATACAGGAGCTGCAGAGCAGAACAAGGGACAGATGGCAGCGTTTTTCAAGACAGCTTTCAAGGCGTGGAGCGAAAAGAAAAGAGAGAGATGGCGCCATCTTATAGAGCCTTTAGAACATTTTGAACCGATGGACACCGCTTTTGGGTGTGCATCCCATGGAACGTGTCGAACCGATGGGCACCGTTTTTAGGTGTGCTTCCCAGGGAACTCTGGAACCAACAACAGTCTGGCATTGGAAATGGAGAGATGGAGACAGCCTTTCTAACCGTACGGCCACTGTTCGATTCACGCGATCAAGATTGTGAGCAAGTGTTCTAGAACGTCGAAATGAGGATGAGGATCGTGGAGCAAGAACGCGTTGAGAACCATGCTGGAGACTGTGCTGGTGTTCAAGAATCAAGATGATACACAAGACCCATCCTGAACTCTAGGGACTCTTTAGTGCTTCCTAGAAAATTTTCACGATTAGATTTTTGTAATCAGGCTTCTTGTTCAATGGTTTCCTCCTTTTTTTTTTTTTTTTTTTTTTTTTCTAATAAGAGTAAATCTCTCCATTTATTAGGGGCCAGTGCCCAAGGCAATCATTGCATTCACTTGCATTTAAGAAACCAAAAAAAATGACAGTTGTGTTTCAGCCATTTGGCTGCCTGTAAAGCAGATATGCCCTTTCCATTTGTAGGAGTCATCCTACAGTTTGTAGGATCATCATGAGGATCCTGGAAATTTCGAAGAAATGGCCATATGGCTGGGGACTCCCGCAAACTCTAGGGCGACTCCTACACTTTTTTTTTTTTTTTCAGGCCTTTTTTATTATCATTATAGTATTACGGGGAACCCCGTAGCCACCACATCCATGTAGAACAAAGGAACATGCGGGGGCTGCACCTACACATGTTTTCACGTCCATCCTTAAAATTTTGTAGAGTTCGTGATCTGGAAAAGGTGAAACACCACGACATTCCTACAAGATGACCCTTTTCTAGAAGTTGTGGAACAAAACAAAACAAAAAAGTTGTGGAACAGGACCTTTAAACCACCGGTACCTTTCCCAGGCAATTTGCCGAAACGCGCCGGTTACCATGGAGGCACTTGGCCTCCGGCGGCGGCCAGATGTGCTGCCAAAACTCGGCGCGCAGGGCCCACAGCCCGTAGCTGGGGAAGGTACTGGCGGTTTACTTGCCAAACTTGGCACAAGGAAAACCTGTCAGAACTCTTGCAAAAGCTTTTTCCTTCGTCCACGGCTTCGGGTCTAGTTGCACCACTCGTCATCTGCCAGCATCTTCAATGTATCTGGACATGGCGGCTGTCTAGATGCATTCAAGATCTTGGTGGATGGTGAGTGGTGCAGCTAGGCCTTTTTACGGCTGTTTTGTGAAGGTGGCCCTTGTGAGCCAGCCACAAAACCTCTTCTTAGCGGGGCTTTGGCTTAGGGACTACCGTCTTCACCTGAATACAATGTATGTTTGGTGCAACTTTCAGTCCAGATACGGCAATAATTACCGGGCGTTCTATTCGGGTGAAGACCGCAGTAGCCCCACTCGCCGTCCGCCAGGACAAATTCCTTGTCAAGATGTATTTGAGAATGGCTTTGTTAAAACCAAACAATGCAACTGGTCAAGCATACATTATTCCGCGAGTGATGAGTCAGCCCGGCTGGCGTGTACCCCATATGCCGGAAAAATCCGTGGAACTGTCCGCCAATAAACGAATGCTGACAAATTGTTTTAAATTTTCTTTGCGAGGTGAAACCACAGTGAGTAAGAGCAACCATGACTCCGACTCGCCATTATTATTATCCTTTTTTTTTCTTTTTTTAAATCCGTTTTTTTGCTCTCCACCATCTTTGTTGTTGTTGGATGGATGACAAATAGGCTTGAAACAGTAAGCGTCAGCACACCAATTACAAGAGCTCAGACAGAGCTGGACCAGACAGAGGGGAGGAAAAAAGCACGAAATCTCAACACCATGACTCAAAGCGGGAGGAGGAAGATGAAGAAGGAGGAAGAGAAGGGAT